GGGAACTAAGTAGTCTGTAGTTGTTGACGGGGCTGACTGGCTTAGATGTGTTTGGTCTATTTTATTATTTTTTTAGTCATGTTGCCATCTTACTTGAAACCAAGAGCTGAACAGACTGCTCCCAAAAAGCCTGCTATGACCACCTTTCTCCCAAAGATGTCCAGTCAGTATTTTTTTACTCCACGCTGTTTATTTAATATATCCCCTGCCCCTGAAAATGGGTCAAAATGTTCAAAAAGCACCATCTGGGAAGTTCTCTGTGTTGGAAAACTGTCATGGCTGGATGACAGAAAGCTGCCACCTGAGTTATCTCTTTGTCTCAAATCAGTTGCAGAACTGTTGAGGCTTGAAGGCACTTTTGGAGGTCATCCAGTTCAACTCTCCTGCTCAGAGCAGAGGTCAGCTGCAGCAGGTTGCTCAGGACAATGTCCAGTTGGCTTTTGAGAATCTCCAAGGAGACTACACAGCCCCTCAGGACAAACAGTTCCAGTGTTTGATCACCCTCATGCTGGTTGTGGGAGGGTGTGTGTGTATGTTTAAATGGAATTTATTCTTTTTCTATTTGTGCCCACGCTCATCAATAAGATCTCCCTGAGCCTTCTCTTCTCCTGGTTGAACAGTCCCAGCTCTCTCAGCCCTTCCTTGTATGAAGATACTCTAGTCTCTTAGTTATCTTTGTGGCCCTTAGGGCTCTCTCCATTATATCCAGGTCTGTTTCATATTGGGTAGCTCAGGATGGAACCCAGCACTCCAGATGGGTCTCACCAGTGCTGAGCAGAGTGGGAGGATCACCTCCCTTCACCTGCTGGGAATACTTCTCCTAATTGCAGCTCAGGGTGCTGTTGGCCACCTTTGCTGTAAGAGCATGTTGCTGGCTCATGTCAACTTGATGTGCACCAGTTCCTCCTCTGCCAAGCTGCTTTCCAGCCAAGCAGTTCGCAGCCTGTACTCGTGCAGGAAGTTATTCCTCTCCAGAGGTAGGACTTGGCATTTCTCTTTGAACTTCATGAGGTTCCTGATGGCTCATTTCCTCAGCCTGCTGAGGTCCCTCTGAACAGCAGCACATGGTTTTGTGTTGTCTGCAGACTTGCTGAGAATGCGTTCAGTCTCATCATCCAGGTCATTAATAAAGATACTGAACAACTCAGCATTGATTCCTGGGGCACACCACTGGTGACCCTCCTCCAGCTGGACTGTGTGTCATTGATAACAACCCTTTGATCCTGGCATTTTGGACAGTTTTTGGTCCATTTTACTTAACACTCATCTGGCCCGTACTCCATCAGTTTGTGTATGAGGATGTTATCGGAGACAGTGTCTAATGCTTTCCCATCATCCAGTGAAGTAGTCATTTCATTGTGGAAGGCTGTCAGGTGGATCAGGCATGACTTCCTCTTCACATACCTTTGCTGATTCCCACCATCACCACCCTGGTGCTCTTAGGTGGCACTGGCTCAGCTGCCTCATGCTTCATTGAACAGAGCTTCCAGCCCCTCCGCGCCTACCAGGGCTCTGAACATAGTCCTGTGTTTCTAAATCTATTCTGTCAATTCTTACAGTCTATTATAATTTATTTTCTATAATACTGTAATCAATTTGTGATTTAACTTCTCATTTTTTTTCCTCCCTCTTTCCTTGGTTGGAAGCATGTGCCGAGTGATGTCTTACGTTTATATTTGAATTGTTTCCAAAACAATATTGCCACTTATTTGTTAGAGATCTAGGATAAAGTAATGTTCTTTGCATACAGTGTAGGAGGTGGTTTGGATGAGGCTTTGGGCGACCTGGTGTAGTGGAGGGTTTCCCTGCCCATGGCAGGGGGGTTGGAACTAGATGATCTTTGAGGTCCCTTCCAACTCTAACCATTCTATGATTCTGCCTCTGAAAACTCAGGAGAATGTTGTCTCCCTCTCAGGTGAGCTTTGGTCCTGCTGGATGTGCAAGAAAAGCACAGTTAACCTCACAGCATTCATACTTGAGCTTGAGAAGACTTCTTTTCATCCAAGACTTGAACATTATGGACTTTTAAGCTACAGATAATTGATTTGAGTTCGGTTTGAAATTGAGAAAACTGTGTAAAAAGCAGAGGGGGAGGTAAGATAGGTGTTTTTGATACTTTGTGTTGCTGAGGTGTTCTACTGCACCTTCTGCCAGCTGAGACTTTTTGGCTTTTGAAAGTTTTGACCAGCTTATTTTATTGCAGTCCAACTTCTTGCTGACTGATTTAAGTATCACATCTATTCTAGAATAAAGCTTTTAAGTGAGAACTTGAAGCATTCAGAAGTCTAATTCAGAAGCATTCAGAAGTCTAATCCGTGGACTGACATGATTCCTAGTTATTGTTATAAGGAGATGTGATTCCTTAAAAACGTTTTGTTACCATTGGACACTGTTTTTGCCTGTGTAAATGTTATCCTTGAAGACCTTTCAGAGGCTTATCTGGACTGTTTTGGTAGTAGAATGGTTTCTTGCCCATGACACTGCAGTCTCAATTACCTGGATAGTTCTTCAGTGCTACCTGCTAATATTGAAAAGCAAAACTGCTAAGTGTCCCTCTTGAGGACAATGTAGTAGTGAGATGTGTAGCTTCTTGCTATTTCTGTGTCATCACATGAAAAAAAAGTATGGGATGAAACTATCTTCACATTCCCCATGACCCCTCTCACTTTACAGGTGAAATTACAGAGTTTAGATCTGTTTTGCACATGTATCCATGAGAGTGAGGGTGATATTGACTATTGCTGTCAAAAAAGAGGAAATTCAGCACCTAAATTTTAAACATAAAAAGCTGATATTCTTTTACTGCCATTTGTGTTCGGAACACAAAGACAGATGGATGATGACTGGGAGGTTCTTGAGATCCTCCTTTGGTTGTTGGCATGACTGAGTTCATGTTTTACAGTCTGGAAAGGTGACCAAAATCAAAGTGTTGTGCGTTTCACACACAAATATAGAAATGTTCCTCCAAGGAAATAAAGAAGCTCTGAAAATAATTAGTTCATGTTGACATAGTGTGGCTATGATTATCTTCTACTACTGTGGAAAAAGGACCAGGTGTTTGGCAGTTTGAGTCGTAGTCTGCAATGCTGTAAAAATTTACCATGACTGACACTGTGTTCTGATCCATTTTCCGTGTTTAACTTTGTAAAACTGTCCTATAGTGTGTATATTGAAATATAATACCTGCTAGTGTGCTTAAAATCAGAGTTTAAAATGAGATAAATATGTATCATGGACATTTTATCTATCTTTATGTACTTGTAGTTTTCCAAAATGGTTGGGTTGAGTTGGTTGGAAGATGACATTTTTATTTCCAGACTGAAGGTGATTAATGGCAGTTGTCTTTATGATCTGTGGCTGCCAGAATTTCCTATCTGTTCAGCAATATTTCATGTCAGCTGCTCAAAAACCAATTCAGCGCAGAAACAAGAGTAAACTATTGTGCTTGCTGCAGGCAGTATGGAAAATACGATGCTTCGAAGCAAACTTAGAGAATACATTTGGAAAAAATAAATGTACAGACTACAAAAAGTGTGTTAGGAGTTCCAGAGTGTGTATCACAAGCAGATAATTCTGGTGGTGACTTCTGTTCATAATGAAGAAAACGAATTTTCTGTCTTAAAGGAAAAAAAGCAAAACTAAGTCTTCATGTTTATATTCCATTGGCTCCTTTGTTCATGGGTGTATTCAGAAAATAGTTTGCCAGACAGATCATTCAAGCTTTTCTTGTGTTCGTGGCACCATCATGTAATTCTGTGTTTTACTAAGGGTTCTCTGACTTCATCCATAGGCAGCAGAGGGATAAAGGCTATGTTGCAACCTGCGTGCAGCAGCACTTTTAATCAAAACTGCCCACAGATTAAAATTACACATAGATTTAATGGAGCTGTAAGTTCAATACCAGGAAAAAATACTTTTTCCCATTCGATTCCTTAATTTGTGAATTAATTGTTGGATGTTGTCATGCACTGATAGAATAAGGAGTAACGTGGAAAAAAAACTTTTACAGCCATTCAGGATTTCTTTTAACTGTGCTGTGCTCTCATCTTTGTGCATGTTTGTTGTCATCTGCAGAGGAGAGGGAGGTTTTGGTGAGAACAGTGTTACATTTGGTATTGCCTGGGTATCCTGACTGTATTTGAGTGAGACGGAAGCTTATTTGATTGCTGCACGCTTGTGGGAATTTCTGGCATAAACAGAATTTCTTGATGAACAAATGAGCCTTTATTGCCAAACAGCCTTAGGCTGTCAGTAAGCCACTTTCATGGATCTTGTGCAACAGATAGACAAGTATGTAAATACATTGCTATGCTCCTCTGAGTAAACTTAATTATATCAAAATTAAAGCTCTCTTGCTTATTCATCTTTGTAAAAACCTGGATAAATCTGAAGGAGAGTGCCTTTAACATGCCTGCGCAATTAAAGTTGTATGATACTGTCAATCGTACACCTTCTGGCTATGTTACATTTCTTGGATCAGATTTGCAAAAAATATTGTGTGTGCAGCAGTTTTTTTTCAGGTATAATAGCAGATGCAGGAATGAGAATTAACAAAGCATTGCATGGCTGTACCATACATGCGCAGTTTGAACCTTTCTCCCTCTTTGGCCTCTGCCTTGAGTAACAAACGCTTGCTCTGTGGTTAGTGATTCATAATTGGTAAATCTTGGGCTGAGGCTTGGCAGTGTGGAGGAAAAAAAAACCCAATACTGCCAGCAATCCCTTCCTCCGCATGTGCACGAAAACCTACCCAACACGACCAAAATATGACCTGGTGTCGTATTCCTAAATTTACTTTATTCTAATAAGTGTTTGTACATTTTTTTTTCCCCTCTCTGAAATGATTGGGAACACTACAGTTCACAAATGAGTGTTTCCATAAAGGAAACACTTGTTCTTAGCATTAGTCACTAAGTCTGTCTTTTTGTACGTGCATGGCTTTCAAGCTGCATTTCCACATCTCAGTTGAATTCACTGTGGATTTTTTTTTTTCTTTTTAGTGGACTATATCGTGGAATATGACTACGATGCAGTGCATGATGATGAGTTAACGATTCGAGTTGGGGAAATCATCAAGAATGTGAAAAAACTGGAAGAAGAAGGATGGTTAGAAGGGGAGCTGAATGGCAAAAGGGGCATGTTCCCTGACAATTTTGTGAAGGTGAGTTTTCTACGTTGACTTGATTTTACCAAGATTGTACAGCAGGCTAGTTATTACTGAAATAGTTAGAGTACACATCAGTTGTATTTGTAACAAGTTTGGTTTTTTTTTAACTGGAAGACTTTTTAGATGATTGCATTTTTTTAGTATACTTTCAAGGGCCTTTCTTGTTGGAGTAAGTTTTGCTGTCTGTTGTTACTCAGCATTTCTTTTGGTCTGTAGCCTTGCCTTGTGTGTTGTGTGTCCTTCTTACTGCTGCAGTGCACTAACAGTTGTCTGTAGTCATGGCTATGTGCTTTAGTGAAAGGGACTGATCAAAACAAACCCACACCCCACCCCTCCAACTTACCCCTACAGAAGACATCAAGTATGGCATCCAATTATTATTACTCAGCTGGCTTGACTGAAACTGAATCCAATTAACTAAGGTTGAGACCCTGCGTACAAAAGGCGGGCCATTTCCTCCTGGCTGCAGAAGATGCAATGGCATCCTTGGAGCCGCAGCCCAGGCTGGTGAGCAACAATCAAGTGATGAGAGAGTTGGGAAAGTGGGGTCACAGCTCAGTCAGCTCAGCTATAGTGAAAAACTACATCCTTAAGCTGTGATTGTGTGGATGCTTGAGCCTGGATTAAGCTGCTTTGTTTGGAGGAGGGATTCTGCCCTACCCTGGGCTCCCCGTTGCTGGCACTACCTTTTTTGTGATCATGCAAGAGGATGGGGCATGGAACATGTCCAGCTAAAAGGTAACTATGAAATCAGGTTGATGTTCAGCATGTTTGATTTCCTGACCCATTTGTCAGTAGCAAATACCTGAAATGGGAGGGGTGTGAGGTAAGTGCTCCACTGGGCTGCAGCACTGTTGTGTCTTTGGATTAGTCATCATTGTTCTAATTATGATCCTTTTCTCTTGGATCTCTGTCTCGCTCAGTGTGATGCGACTGACTTGTGGTAGTTGTCTTCTGCTGTGAGGTAACGCCTCTCAAATATTTTATTTAACCTTTTATATTTGTTCTGTGTTTGTGTCCTTGTGTCCTAATTTTAGTTAAAGTTCTTGTTTGCATCTTCCACATTTTTCCTGTTTTCTCTGCAAATTTTCTAAATGTAATATCGAGTATGCACCTATTTATTAGTTACTTATGATTAAGAAGTCTGCAAAGCAGCTAGGTGTGCTGTTCCACGTGGAACTCATGAAATTCAGAGTCGTCTGAGCTGCAGATACTTTCTCGTCTAAACTACGCAAGTGTTAGAGATGTTGTACTTTGCTCCTTTATGCTTTCTAACCTTTTCAGTAACTTCCAAGGATTCCTTAGTGTAACTTCTGTAAAGTGTAATCAAAGAGAGTTTAGATATTCGTGTCTAGAAGTGAAATTAATTCTTTGCAAAACAGAATTATCTAATGTATCTTACTGTGATATTTACATATTGTTAAACATAAAGGGAAATTTGTCCAGTGCTATAAACACTTCTTCCCACTTGCTTACGTTTAATTTATTTTCTGTTCGTCTTACTTGAAAAAGCAAAATTTCTCATTTTTTAATTACTGTGGAGGGATTTAAGACTGATGGAAATAATCCAGTTCTCAGAAAAATTTGTATGAATGCCTTTCACTTGTCTAATTTTTAAGTTGTTTGTAGTTTAGTTCAAAATCCATTTTAGGTTTTGGATCCTGTATAAATAGTAGTTTTACCTTAAGTGATGTTTTGAGGATTATTGTGTTGACGATGTATTTAATTAGTACTCAAATGCCACATAGGAAGAAAGCATCAGACATGACTCTTCTCTGGTTCTTGCATCAAGACCATCTTTTTGCCGAACGGCAAAGAGGGGTTGGATGTGGCTTGTTTCCATGTTAAATACAAAACTTGTTGGGTGTTTTCTTGCCCTTGTGCAGCTGTGGCTTTTATAAACTTCCTTTTATATTACTTCCATCCTGAAAAATCTTCATGCATCTCAGCTCCAGGTATTTCAACTATGCAGCTGTTGAGTATGTGCATGGCATGGCTGGAGATCCTGCATTACAGGAGACAGTTTTCTAGAAGGTGTAGGGATTTGGAGAAGTGGAAAGGAAATTGTGTGGAAGAAAACTCTCTTTGGTTTCATGATAACAGGGGATAACTTGCTTTCCTGGTGCTGGAGTTGAATGCGTTTATGAGGCTAACCTTGGGAATTTTTAAGATGGTATGCACAGGCAGGACAACTGTCGTGCAGTGATGAGATGATGGGAAAGCATTAATTGTTAGGGAAGTGAAAGTCATGGTTTTCTTCGTAGCCAATTTGATTATAATTTCTTCTTAAAAGTTAATTTATGGGTAGTGACAGTTTGAGGGACTATTTCTGGGAAAGCTGTTGCAGAAAACACCCCCTTTTCTGCTTCCCCCAACTGTTTTCATTTGCTGTTGCAGTAGGTTATTGATAGTTCAGGATCTATGAACCACTACTATGACTGAACCACTGCAAATACCAAGCCTCAACGGCTAAACTCAAATGCTTCAGCTTGGCCTGGTGCATTGTTAACACCCACAAGGCGTGGGTGAACAGGAGGAGGAAGGGGAAGTAAGCTGAAGCAGGGTTGTACTTTGGCCTTGTGAACAAGGAAGGTCCCTTGAGAAATGAATTTCCTCATTTGCTCCCTCACCCAGTAGCTCAAGGAGGTGGTGGTGTTGGATTGTTTGTCCACTGGGCTTCCTATGGGAAGGGATGTTTTAGTGCTCTGAACAGGAGACTCCTTACGGCTCCTGCAAGGGGGTGTAGCATTGAGAGTAGAGAAGCGTAGCAAGTTGGTTGGGAGGGGTAATGACAAGAAGTATGCTGAAGAGGGACAAATATTGCTGTCTTCTTATGACCACATGAAAGGGAAAGGAGGTTAAAGGTCTGAACGATGCAGTGAGGAGGAAACACCTGCAAGGACATTAGGCTGGGAGGACTGGGGGGACCTCAGGTGCATGGGATGGATCTCCCAGGTCACATCTGTAGAAATGTGACAAGAGTGAGCAAATTGGTATGTACAGGACTGTTGTGCTAAGTCTTGTACAGTTGGATGTGAGATTCTGGGACTGTACTTGAATATTTATTCCTTCCTGAAAGGATCTTATTCTCCTGTTACAAGTGTAATTTCATAGATTAGATGGAGATCTGTCCTGAAGTCATTACATGGATAAATTTGTTTGGGGATTTGTTGTGTTTTTTGGTTGTGTATGTGTGGTGTTTTTTTTTGTGGTCTATGTGCTGGTTTGTTAAGAATTGAACTGAGGCTAGGGTATAACTTCTCCATACAGAATTTGGATGGTAAATTATAATCTGTGCTGATCTGAAAAAGATCAGCATTTGAAGCTGAAAATGCATGTGTGTTATCCATTAGATTTGCTTAGCTTCTTCATGTATAAAATATTTAATCTGTCATTAAACTGAGTGAAGATGAACATACTTTCTTTTCCAAATGTTAGATGTTTTTAGAGAAGATAAATGAGTTCTTATTTTCATCAGACAACTGCAGGAGAATTGAGGGGGAAGTGCTAATTCCAGCTAGTTTGGATTTTACTTGTTTTGTTAGTTCGTCTCTTCTTCATCCTGTCCAAGGGCAGGAAAAGAGCGTGTTGCCTTGGCGGCAGCTGCAAACTGTCCTTGGCTGCCAGGCAGTGTGTGGCTGCTTCTTGCCTGTTTGAAGGATAACCAAAAGCTCCACAGGAGGATTATGACTGTGTGCTTGCTGGATGCGTTGGATGCCCCAGATTCCGACTGTATCATCATTGCTAAAGCAGATTAGTCCCCTTCTGTTCCCTCCTTCTGGGCTCCACTAATACACAGGATTAACTGACGTTTTACACTGCTCCTCATACTTTGACTTTTACATGCTTTGACAAATGTGTCTTTTCTGTTTGAGGTTTGAGCAAGGGCTATCAGCTTCATTTTGAGTTGTTAAAGTTGTGCAGGAAATAGCTTTTTTGATTATGTCTTCCTTTTTTTATTCCCCGCAAGTCTTCTAAATACTGCAGGATAGTTTTATGCAGTGGTAGTGGGTTTACATTTCCTGTAGTAGCACTGATTTGGTCTTTGCTGTCAGAAGGGCAGCAAAGGAAGCTGACGTTGTGTTTTCAAATGGATTGATTTGTTGTACAGACAAGTAGGTGAGCTAAGCACTGTATGACTTTGAAATACTCATATGCAGTGGGGAATGTATGGAAGCTTCTTGTGGATACAGATGTGATGCTGATGCTTGATACCTTGTAACATCTGCTGGTAACTTTTTGGTTGTTTTTTTTGGCTTCTACCCAAACTTTTTGCTCATTCATGGTGGCATGCTGAAGTTGGATCGGAGCTTGATGGTCCCTGGTTCCTAGTGCCAGCTGGGACTGGGCATTTTCTGCAAACTCATCACCTGATGGGTTAACCAGCAGTCTGAGACGGTCTGTGACAAAAGGTGCAGTTCTTGGTGCAGACTTCCGCGTGTGGTTTTTTGCATTAAAAGAAAGAGAGCAGGTAGATTCAGTTAAGGGGAACCCCATAAAGCCTCCCAAAACATTCTCAGATACTAGTGTGACAGTGTGTGTGTTGGATGGAGAGCAGGAGGTATTGTAAAGACTGGGAGGGAAGTCGGGGCTGGGATGTCCAATGCAGTCCTGAAACCAGAGCTCAGGGCTGGCGGAGAAACTTGTGGTGACTGTATAATTGAAAACAAGTAGATAAAAAAAATTACAGGCAGTTACACTGTCCACTTTTGAAGCTAATTTCCTTGAATTCACTTTTCAGTAATAGGCCTTTTTAAAGATTTTCTACCTGTATTGCAGTGTTGGATTTTGGAGTGCATAAATTTCTAATTTTATTAACAAAATCTGATTTGAAATCCCTTTTGAACTGTGCGCTTAGTGGAGTTGAAATACTTGAATTCGAGTTCGTGTTCCTGACATTGTTATTGCAGTTTTTTTCCCTCTTCCTGTATGGGCAATTTGAAATAAACAGCTTCATAAATTCCTGAAAGGAATTAACAGTGGAAACCAAGCAG